GACCCTGAGTTCAAACCCCAATATCACAGAAAAGCTCTTCCATTCACCTCTGGTAGTATGGAAATTTGACTCAAGTCTTTGCACTTGCTAGACAGGTGCTCTACCATTTGAGCCATGCTTCTAGCTCTCATATTTTGAGTCTGTGCTAGATAGGTGTGTGCACATATACATGTGTGTGTGTGTGTGTATTGCACACCCTCCCTCTGACACCTTGGAACTAGGATTACAGGCATACACTGATCTGTTCAGCTCAGATCATCTTTCTGCTGCCTGTAGCTCGGGCCCCAACTCCTGATATCCCCCTCATTGGTTAACATTTTTCCTTAGAAGCACTCCAGTCTACATGACATCATGGACCTTTGCTTCCAGGGTGTGGTTGAAGTGTGGCTTGTACTGCCTGGGACGTCATGGAATCACATCATACTTCACCCTGTGTGGTCAGAAGAGCGGAGGCTCAGTGTCAGGGGTTGGCTCCGTGGTAGGAAGCATTAATCTATAGATCTTGCCTTGTACTCAGGGCGGGAACCATAACATTTCACTTCCTCTCCATGTCCAAAGACATTTCCACAGAATGCCCTTGACAAGTGAGTGACAGAGCTATGCTTGTACATCCTAACCTCCATGGAATCCAAAGTACCCAGAATGTGCAACTCAGAGCATGACTCCAGGCATCAAATGATTCTCTCTGGTCATCTGAGCTTCCAGCTCCTCCTAGCATTGGACTGCCTAGAATGGGAGGAGACATGATTTGAGTTCTAGAATGATGCAGGTAACACTGAGTGCCCCATCCCACCTTACCTTTGCCCATATTCCTCTGCTTGCCCAGGTCTTCATGTTTGCCCTATCAACTATCTCCTTACTGTGGCCTCAGCTCAGTTTCCTCTAAGGCTGTGGTCTTCACACAGGATGCTGGTTCCTAAGGTGAATGAGCAAGAATTAGACTCCTCTCATTTCTCCCCCCCCCCCCAAGCAAGATACTGCATCTCCAGGGTGATTTACAGCAGATGATTTGCTGGAAAGTTTCTCCAAAAGAAAGGAAACGAGAACCACTGTTCTGATAATCATATTCTCTGAAGAGGGAGTCGGAGACAGAGAGAAAGACAGAGGTAGAGATTGCGAATACACATTCAACCGTCTGGCACCAGTGGCTCATGACAGAAAGCCTAGCTACTCAGGAGACTGAGATCTGCTGATCTTATCTCCAATTAACTAGAAAAAAGCTAGTTTGGGGCAGATAAAAAGGCAAGCAAAAAAGCATGAGGTTTTGTGTTCGAGTCCTAGTACTGGCACAAAAATAAACAAACACTAAGTAGATATTCAAAATGAAGAAAAGTGGTTCCTTTTGTGCCCAGCTCTGCAGTCTTGAGCACTGAGTGATATCTCCATCAACTTCTTGCTGACTTGCTCAGAGGGTGATCAAAGTTGACTTAGCTTTTCTCAGGTTCTGGATGCCCATGCCTTTAGAAATGGCAGTTAGGACAGACACCCTATCAAGAATACATTAGTGAACATGGTGACACTAGCAACCAGTGTTCATCCCCTGGTTCAATGTCACTGTCAATCCTCTAAGGTGCTTTCTCTCTTGGTCTGGAGCCTTGAAGGAACCAGAGGAGCTGCCCCAGAGCAGGAGAGACAGAGGGGAGGAAGTGATAAAAAGAGAGACTGCACTGTAAATCACGTGTGGACTATGAGGTCTAGGGGTGAAGGGGATCCTTGAAAATGTGAACTGGTTCCAAGCTTCATACAGAGAGAATGGAAGGGAGAGGTCATGGAGGTCTAGGAACTTCTGTTTAATCCTTTTGTTTTGTATCAGTCAGGATTCAACCAAATTAGCAGAGTTATATTTGTGTGAGAGGGATTTGACCCCAAACAGTGGTGGGAGCTGGGCTAATCAGTTTCCTTTAAGGCCTTAAGGATGCTGGAGCTTGAAGTCTGCAGAGTAGGCAGTGAAGAAGATGGAGATAAAGCAGGAATGAAAAAGGAAACACTGGCTGCAAGGACACAAGGCAGAGCCTGTATGAGTGGACAGGAGCCCATGTCAGCCTCTAAGGGCCTCAGTTTGATGACGTGGAACATCCGGAGCTGTCACACTCCAGCCTGGCCCAAGAGTTGGATAAACTGAAGGAGGATCCTAAAGTAGAATAGCTCCAGGCCCAGCTGAACAACCAGCATGAAAACAGTACAGTGTTCTCCATGATTTGGAGCTGTGTGCAAAATGTTTCTTGAGGCCCACCCTAACCAGAAATGTACAGGAAAGAGAATGCTGGGTAAATGTAGTTCAATCTGGTCAAGTGGGTTTCTGAGAGGTGTCACGACCCCTCTCCATACCCTCCTCATCAAAGAAAGCAGCAGGTTGTGCCCTGTGAGTCAGTGTCTAGAATAATGTTGACTTGGTGCCATCTCTGAAAGTTCTGAAATTATAAGGAAAGGGTTACATCTCTAGGAAAATTGGGAGAGCAAGAATCTATGACAAGAGAATGATCTGTAACCCAAAGCTACCTCTTCCACAGGTTGACCTTCCCCAGCTAAATTTGAGATCTCCTTAACAAAATTTAGTTTAAATGACTCAGTCAAGTATTATAAGTGATTACCAATACTAAACTCAGTTATTCATTACAAAACTACTTTGTCAAATTATACAGTGCCCCCTAACTCAGCCCTTCCACCATTCTATCACTTGGTGCTTGATCCAAATTGGTTATGTCACCTCCACTGACATAGAAATAGCCACCCATCTACCAGCAAACAAATACTCATTGAATATTTGAGCCTTTCCTTGTGTTTCAGACCTTTAGAATAATAAGATTCTCATCATTTCAGTTTATGAGTAGCAATGCACAACACATCCTTTTTTCTAAAGCACATAAAGCATATTCTGTTCTTGACTATATCCTGAGCTATGAAGGGATGAAATCATCAGCATACAGGCACTAGTGGCTCACACCTATAATTCTAGCTACACGGGAGGCTGAGGTCTGAGGATCAAGGTTTGAAACCAGCCCAGGCAGGAAAAAGTCCATGAGACTCTTATCTCCAATTAACCTCCAGACCTGGAGTTGTGGCTCACGGGTTGGAGTGTCAGCTTTGAGCAAAAACTCAAGTGAGAATACACCTTCAGCTCAAGTTCTAGTACTGGCACAAAAATAAATCATCAGAATATATTCTTTTAATATAAAAACAATAAAAAAATTCTCATATATCTGAAAAGTGAGAAAAAATACATGTCAAAGAAGATATCCTAATGGAAACGAGAAAACATTTTAACTGAATAGTACGTATGACTAAAAAAAAGACTGATTCTAAAATTTATACAGAAAGATAAAAGGCCAAAGATATCCAAGCAAGGACAGAAAAGGAGAAAACAGGAGGAAGTACTTTACCAGCACTAGAGAATTGTAAATAAACTGCTCAATTACCATAATATGGAACTGGCACACAGATAAGAAGCTAAACCAGTAGAAGAGAATGGAGTCCATAAACAGAACACAGACCAAGGAGGTGCTGCCAAACAACAGGGAAATGATATGATGATCAACTTTATGCACCAGCATGAATGGCTCATAAAGTTCCCAGATAAGAGATTAAATGTTATTTTAGATGTTTCTGTGAGGACAATGAAATTTAACATTTAAGTCAGAAAAGTGAGTAAAGATCACTCTTCCTAATGTTGATGGGTCTTATGCAATCAGCTGGGGGTCTGAATAGGACAAAAAGGCTAACCTGCCTCTAAGGGAGGATTTCTCCTTCCTGATTGCTTTCAGACTGGAACAATGGTTGGTTTTCACTGGTTTTTCTCACGTCTTCGGACTCAACCTGCATAATGCTATTAGCTCTCCTGCATCTCCAGACTGCCAACTCATCTCGATGATCTTGAGGCTTACCAGCCTTCAGAATCATGTGAGCCAGTTCCCCAACTTTATATCATCAGGCTTCTCAGAGATTCCCTGGGAAATCCTAATCTAATGGCCTTTTAAATTAAAAAAAATACTAGGTCTATTAGATATTCACATGGGAAAAGAAAATAAGCCTGCCTTCCTTCCTTCCTTCCTTCCTTCCTTCCTTCCTTCCTTCCTTCCTTCCTTCCTTCCTTCCTTCCTTCCATCCTTCTTTGACTCAGAGTCTTCCTGTATAGCTAAGGTTGCTCTCAAACTCAGTCCTCTTCCTTCAGCCTCCCAAATGTCAAGATTTGGGTATGTGCTATCACATCAGACTAAACTATAAATCTCAAAGCTGAATGTGGTGGTACAAACCTGTAATTCCAGGAATCTGAGACAGAAGGATTATGAATTCAAGGACAGACTGGACTAGATGAGATCTTATCCTAAATAGATAGATAGATAGATAGATAAGCAAACCAATCAATAATCTTGAACCCTTTTGCATACCAAATATAGAACTCCACTAGCTGGATTATGAATTAAGTGACAGTGTTAAAACAAAAAGACCTTCAGGAGTAAACATAGAGGAATATCTTTATTACCTCAAAATAGAAGAACATTTCTCATCAAATCTCAGAAGCTGATATATACAAGAGACTAGTTCATTAATAAGAAGAGCTGTGAAGCCAGGCATAATGGCTCATGCTTATAATCCCAGCTACTTAGGAAGTTGCCGCAGGAGGATCACTTGAGTCCAAGAGTCTGAGACAAGCCTGAGCAATGGAGTGAGACCTCCCTCATCACAAAAGATAAAGCAATTGTAGAAATCAACTCAACATTGTGTTCTGCCTAGAAGGCTGTGACCACTTACTTCAGAGAGAGGAATATAAACAGGAAACAGCTCAGCATGATTCCTGGGTGAGGCCAATTCCTGATCACCCATCTGATGACACAACTTCCTATAAGCACCCCAATCAGATGAGTCTCTGAGTAACTCTTGTGTGTATCCTAAAAGTCTAGCACCCCTAGATACTCTGGCAAAGCAACAGAGAAGTCATACATGTCACATGACAAGTCACATGACACTCCTCTACATAAAATTCCTTACTTGTGCACCTGCAAATTCTGTGTTCCCATGGTACCAGCCTGCCTATAAAAGACAAGAGAGATTAGCTCCTAGAAGGAGACCAGCAGTCCTGAGACTCCAGCGCCATCTCTGCTCCATCCACACTCCACTCCTCTGTGGGTCCAGCATCATGAAGGGTCTCCTGGTATTCCTCTTTGTCCTCCTCTGCACCACCAGCCTTTGTTCTTGTGAAAAAGGTGAGCCTGTCATCCTTTTTCCTTTAATAGTTGTTCCCTGGCCAGAAGTCAGACCACATCTCCTGGGGTCTCCTCAACTGATGTTCTCTAGTTCCCAAATGTCATTGTTGTTTTCTTCAAGAGGGTTTCAAAGCAGCCTATTTTGAGCTGAGCTGCAGAAGGCTTGAGAGAGGATTGATCCTGCTTTTTAGATGAGGCCATTAAAGTTGGAACATATTGCATTATTAGCATGAATTGTAACTGAGGTGCATTTACTTTTCATTGTCCTGGTAAGTTTTAGAATTACTAAACTGAGTGCCCCTGGCTCAACCCCTATAATCCTAGCTACTCTGGAGGCTGAGATTTGAGGATCATGGTTTAAAGTTAGCCTGGGTAGGAAAGTTCATGAGACTCTTAGCTCCAATTAGTCACCAAAAAGCCAGAAGTGGCTCAAGTGGTAGACCATCATCCTTGAGTGAAAAAGCTAAGGGACAATAGTCCAGCCCAGTACTGTCATGCATGTGCACGCGCGCGCGCGCACACACACACACACACACACACATACACAAATTAGCTGAGTGAATTCCAGTTCAGTTCCCTGGATGACTTGTAAATGTCCCTAGCTTGTGTGCTTTTGTGTGTGTGTGTGATTGTGTGTGCTAGACTTGGGGCTTAAACTCAAGGCCTGGGCATTGTCCATGAGCTTTTGTTCTCTAGTCTGGTGCTCTTCCACTCTGGCTTTTTGGTGGTTCATTAGAAATAAGAGTCTCAGGGACTTTCTTGCCTGGGCTGGCTTTGAACTGCAGTTCTCAGATCTCAGCCTCCTGAATAGCTAGGATTACAGGCATAAGCTACTGACAGTTTTCTTTCTTTCTTTTTAGTGAAGACTGAGACTCAAACTCATTATCTTTTGCTTGCTTTTTCTCGTTGGCTGGCATTCTACCACCTGAGCCACGCCTCCAACCCTCTCAGCTTTCTTGTGATTGGGAAAAGAAATGTCCCCCGAGAGCAGCTGGAGAGCTTGATCTCCTTCTGAGTAACACAGGGACCAAAATGGAGACATAAAATCAAAGACAAGTCCAAAGAAAACAATGCAAAATGAACAAAAAGCTGCACGATTTCTAGTGTTCTCTTTTCCCCAAGCCTCAACTCTGAACTAGACCTCTTCACTCCTTCCTGACCCTCTTCAGCTGGCCTGTTCTGACAACCCTCTTATCTTGTTCACTTAGATAAGATTTACACCCCACCCACCTGCTGCTTTTCCTACGTCTCCCAGCCAATCCCTCTGAATCACATGGCTTCCTATTATAAGACCAGCGGCGCCTGCCTCAAAGAAGGAATCATGTAAGTACCAGTCCCTCTGTCCACTCCTGAGGAGGTACAGGACATGTAAGGGAGGAGTAGATCCCTTAGGAGTGGATCTGGGGCAATTGGCAAGGGCATCAGATAATGGATTAGAAGCTTGTGTGTGGGGGGGGGAGTCTATAGTACGTGCTGGTCACAGAGAGAGGCTGCTGGGCTATTTCTTGGCATGGGCTAGGTATGCAGGGAACACCTGCCCAGAAGTAGAGGGAAGGTAATAAATACAGAAAGGTACACCAGAAAGGAAATTATGACTATCCTTACTAATTAGCTATGTGCTTCTACTCTCTCCATAGCTTTCTCACCAAAAAGGGCCGTCATATCTGTGCCAACCCCAGTGATGCCTGGGTCCAGAAACATATCCAAAAACTTGACATGAATCCATGAATGGTCCTGCAGGAACCAGAGATTTGAATTGATTGGGGAACCAAAGAAGTTCCCAAGTCTCCCTCTCTCTCCCCTATGAATTCCCCCCTTCCACTAATCACACTGTGAAATGTTAACTTTAGTTAAGCAACTTAAATATTGCAAATCATTTTGTCTATTTGATGCTTTTGCTAAGAAGTCATAGACTATCCTCTTATTCCCAGACCCACTTTCTGTCAGTAGTTGGCTTGTATTTAGAGTGATTGTGAATGATGGCTTTTTTTTCCCCTAGGTGGTCATTGAACATCATCAGATGTTTACTGATTTATAAGCCCTTTACTATATTAAATATGTAGGTATACATATATATGAACAATAAAAGTTCTTTTTTGTTTTCCTAAGTAAATCTGGGACTCCTGGTTATGTTTTTGTTTTCATTTTCCTGACAAGTCACATTCATTGGCTGAAAGAAATGAGAGAAAATGTTGGGTATCCTGTTAAAGAGAAAAATGGTTTAAGTGTCAATCTAACAACACTAGGCTTTATGCTAGTCACATATTCTCCATAGTATGAAAAAGCAAACCTTTTTAAACAAATGCAAATTTATATGTACTAGAAAAATCCACCCATTGAATAAACACCAAAGCAAACCATTTTATCATGCATACAGATGCATCTTCTACTTAAAGCTTTCTTGAGAATAAGGCTCAGCTATCTTTGAGGACTCACTTGAACCATGAGCTACACTGAGCTTTACATGCATTTCCTAACCTTCAAACTTCAAAGTTTTATATTTTCTGAGAGTCTGAGACACTTGCCCAAGTTTAAACATCAAGTAATGTTGAACTCAAACCTACAGATCAGACCAAGTTTCATATTCTTAAGTAACTACTGAGAAAGTGTCTCTACAGGTGATCCATGTCTCCTATGAAACTGAATTAGTAGGAAACTACAGTTCCCTGATAGAAGAGAGCCTACACCAGGTGACTCAGCCCTCTAGTCTCTCCCAGTATATCATGTCATTCGACTCTTCCTTGACAAGCCAGTCAAGCAACAGATCTCTGTTCAGCTACTGATTTCCAAAGACTTTCTCAGCTGATTGGTATTGTGAAGTCATGGGGGATCTTTTACTTCTTTTTGCTTAAGTATTTTCTAAATTTCACCATACTTGAATCTTTACTAACAAATGACACAATGCAAGTATTTGTTTCATTTTGCTCTAAGAAGAAAATGCCAAAGACTTACTGTTTGCTGAACTTATGACAGACCCTGTGCATCTTGTTCTTGGCTGAATCTCCAAATTCTTAGTATGTATTCAGTAATACTTGTGACATTGCATTGATACTGCATAGCCATGAATTCTAGTTATGTGGATTCAATCAACAACAAGATATATATATATATATATATATATATATATAATACATATATCTGTAAACCACACACACACACACACACACATATATATGGTTTACTGAGGATTAAACTCAGAATCTTATTCTTACTAGACAAGCACTCTACCTCCTGAGCCATGCTTCTAGTCTCTTTTTGCATTGGTTATTTTCAAGGTAGAATCTCTCTTTATGCTCTGGCTGGCCTGGACTGTAATCTATTTATGTTTCCCTGTCTCAATAAGAATGACAGGTATATACCACCATACCCAGTGGTTAATTGAGATGCAGTTTATTTTTTTGTTTTGTTTTGTTTTGCCAGTCTGAGGTTTGAACTCAGGACCTGGACATTGTCCCCAGGCTTCCTTTGCTCAAGGCTAGCACTCTACCACTTGAACCACAGTGCTACTTCTGGCTTTTTCTGTTTATGTGGTACTGAGTAATCAAACCTAGGGCTTCATGCATGCTAGGCAAGCACTCTACCACTAAGCTACATTCCTAGCCCATAGATGCAGTGTCTTGTAATTTTGTTTTTGAGGGCCTGGACTGGCCTAGAACCGTGATTCCCCAGATCTTCACCTCCCAAGTAGCTAGGATTATAGGCTTAAACCATTGTACCTGACTAGAAAATGTTTTTTTAACTGCATTTGTACTGAACATATACAGACCTTCTTCTTGTGATCACTCCCTAAACAATAAAATATAAAAAACTACCTGCATAGCATTTACATAGTATTAAGTATAGTAAGTACTGTGGGATTTAAAGTAGGATATGAATAGGTCATATGCAAATTATTGTGATTTTTATATAAGGGATTCAAGTATCCTGTCTCAGGAACCTAGGAATCAATTCTCCAACAGGTACTGATGAATAATTGTGTTTCCAAAATAAACAAACAGCAAATAAGTTAATAAGTAAATAATGATTATTCTCTGCAAAGTAGAAGAGATAAAGTAGAATATTTGATCTTCAATTTTTCATTTTCTCCTTCTTTGTCCCTTACAAACCATAAGAGGTATAATAACACTCTATAACAAGAAGAATTTGAAATCTGAGAAGGATGGTATTTCTGTCCCCTGGCTTGGATTCCTCCAACTCCTTTCTAGTAACTGAGACAATGTATGGTGCAGATTATCAGTCTTTGCAAACTCTCAGAAAGAAGATATTCAAGACCAGAAAACAAAATCCATTTTCCAAAAAAGAAGCTGGGCACTCGTGGCTCACTCCGGTAATCCTAGCTACTCAGGAGGTTGAGATCTGAGGATTGTGGTTTGAGGCCAGCGCAGGCAGAAAAGTCCATGAGATTCTTATCTCTAGTTAATCAGCAAAAACCCGGAAGTGGAGCTGTGGCTCAAATGGCACAGTGCTAGCCTTGAGCATAAAAGCTCAGAGACAAAATCCACGTCCTGAGTTCAAGCCCATGTGGTGACAAACAACAAGAACAACAAACAAAAACTCAAAAGATAAAACAAAGCAAAAAAATCAAAACACAGAAGGTTGATTCTTTTTGGGAGAAAATCCCCACCTAAGCAGTTCTGATTGAAAAACTCCTTCTTGGCACTTTAAAAGGGAAGTGGCCAGAGTAAGTCAGGATGCGTACAGGGTGGATGATGTCATTTGGACTTTTCCTACTTCCTTTTCAGTCAACAACAGCCACTAGAAGGAGGGTGGAATAGAAAGTGTGGCAGACAAAGATCTAATTTTCACATTTAATTTACAAAATATCCTGGGATCAGCCCATTGTGCCAAAACAAAAACAACTTTATCAAAAAACAACAACAAAAACTTTTGAGCTCTACGTTCCCCTCTCCTACCCTGCTCTTCCACTCAGCTCTTCTCCTTTGAAGAAAGGAAATAGGGTTAGTCAGGCAAGGCTGAGGCTCTGGAAGCAAGCAAGCATTGCTTATCCAAGCATAGAAGGAATGTCTCTCCCAGAGCACTTTGCTAATGCCTCTGCTTAGTATGAAGTAAATTTCATCCATAAATATAGCTTTGTTTCTACATAGGGAGTTGCCAGGTTATTTAACAATTAGAAGAGGTAGGAAGAATTGGATAAGTGCATACCTGGCCTGCAGGTGGCTCTAGGACCTCAGCAATGAATCATTACATGAGAAAACACTGGAATTTTATTGAGGGTTTTGGACTCCTTTTTTTTTTTTTTTCAGACTATAGGTCTGAATTACTTGGGAAAAGCCGTGCAAACTAAACTTGCTTTCTTATTTTGTTTTACTATTACATTATCTCATTGCATATATATATATGCATATATATCTCATTACATATATATATATATATATATGGGGGGGGGGGTCTTGTCGTGAGGCCTGAACTCTGGGCCTGGGCGCTGTCCCTCAGCTCTTCAGCTCAAGGCTAGCGCTCTACCACTTGAGCCACAGAGCCACTTCCAGCTTTTTTCTTTTTGCTTATGTGGTGCTGAGGAATCGAACCCAGAGCCTCAGGCATGCAAGGCAAGCACTCTACCACTGCGCCACCTTCCCAGCCCATCATTGATTATGTATTTCTTTAATAGACACTCGGTGGTTCCCTTTCAAAGACAAAAAACACTTAAAGGCAGGTTGGAAGCAAAGGGCAATAATAGTTCAGGATGGCAGACAGACTTCTATATTTAGTTCTCCTCCTACCCAAACCCTATTAAAATAATAATGAAAAAACAAACAGAAGCTAACCGATGTGTGGTGGAGGAAGGATCTGCCCTCTGAAGTTTCCATCACCTTTCTAGAAGGTGGAAGATAAATGGAGCCTTTTGAACAACAGATCAAACATGGCAAAGAGGGGGGCCAGATCAGGACATGCACAGCACAAGGATGCAATGGAGATGCCAGGTTCCTGTGGGCAGGTAGATAAAGCAATGGTGAGAATGGGTGAAAGTTACTGAAAAACTATAACACCTGGATCAAGTCCTTTGTCTCTATGGACTCAAAGAATGTGTCCATGGACTAAAATGGCAAAGATTTATTAAAGAAAAAAAGGTAAGCAGAACTCCAGGTAGACAGGAAGGGCCCCCAAGGGACCCTTGGGGCATCACTAAGGTATGTTGTACAGGTGTTAATAAGGCATCTGTAGAAGACGGCTATATGACTGTTGCAACCATAGCACAGCCGGTGGGCTACATCGGTCCTCAGACCCAATCAGAGCCTCCAGGCAGGCTGCATGAGCTCTATGCATCCTTTAGCCTGGCTGACTTAGAACTTGTAAGGTCCGCTCCTGGATGGCTAGCAGACTCCACCCTCCTCGCAGCAAAGTCTCCACCCAGTACCTGTGTTACCTAGGCAACTGGGACACCTGGAAGAGGTCACATCTGCATCCGCTGAGGTCACATCTGAATTTGATGTGGCCACACCTTTCTTTGCCCATACCCTAGATAAGGCCTCGCCCAGGCCCAGACGCTCTCTCTCTGCTCTTTTCTAGCTCTTTCTTAGCTCTTTCCTTCTCTTCTCTTTCCCAGCTCCCTTCTCTTTCCTAGCTCTTTCTTTCCCACCTTTCCCAGATGCTCTTTTCTAGCTCTTTTCTCTCTCTTCTCTTTCCCAGCTCTCTCTTCTCTTTTCTAGCTCTTTCTCAGCTCTTTCCCACCTCTTTCCCAGGTCTTTTGCCAGCTGCATGGAGTGCCAACCTTGCCTGGTCCCAGCAGGTCTACTGAATAAACCTACCCCTTACCTGAATACCACGTGCATGCTGCTGTTCTTACTCGGCTACCTGTTTTTAAAAACCTAACAGAAGGAAGGAAGGAAGGAAGGAGGGAAGGAAGGAAGGAAGGAAGGAAGGAGGGAGGGAGGGAAGGAAGGAAGGAAGGAAGGAAGGGAAGAAGGGAGGGAGGGAGGGAGGGAGGGAGGAAGGAAGGAAGGAAGGAAGGAAGGAAGGAAGGAAGGAAGAAAGAAAGGAAGTTCATAGATCTAAACAATCAAAAGAATATGGTTGGATAACACACATTTAGTACCACTAAGTTACTCAGGAGGCTGAGACTAAAGGATCATAGTTCAAAGCCAGTCC